GTGCCGCGCGATACGCGGCGGCTGATCGATCCGCGCCGCGTTCGATATCTCGCAATTATCAACAATCCGTCGTGCCGTCGGCGCGAAATTTCCGCGCGACGCGCACTCTCCACTCGACCCGGCTCGTCCGCGCTGCCAACTACGCCGTGAGCCACTTAAGTTCTTTCTCTCACCGTATAATTATCGCGTCTGCGTGATAAGGCTCTTTACGACGCGTGCGTTTTACGAAGTCGTCGTGGTCGCGCGCGGCTAATAAAGGCGCACGATCCCAGGGCCTTACCCGTTGTCGTCGTAAGTGCGCGTGCGGACTTATTAGGACACCGTCGCTCGCAACGACGTCGGAGTCGTTCGCTTTATCGCCAGCAACAATGGACTTTTTATTTTCGCCGGGCGCAATAACGCGGCGTGCAAAATCAACGAGCGCGTGTGGAGCGCGGCACAGCACATTGCAGCCAACACCGACGCGTTGCAAAATCATGCTCGCGGTGTAATTCGTGCGCGTTCCATACGTCGATCCAGATAAAACGTGGTTATAATAATGCGAATGGCAAAAAAAAAAAAAAGAGAAAGGGAGAAAGAAAAATAAGTGACAGCCGTCCATCGACGGCAGCTCGCGAGTCTCGACCTGCCGCGCGAGCGGCACACTCTCGCGATGCCAAGACGTTGTTCTCACGGTGAAATTAGTAGGATTCCTTGCACGCTTGGAAAATGAACTCGTGGCCTTCCTCCTTCCTCCCCCTCGTCGGGACAGCTATCACGCAGCTAACACACATGGTTCGTGGCGCACGTAACGAAATCGCGGTCTCGCGAACGACCCTCGGCGACGAAGTCGTCGTCGATGGTGTATCACGCTCGGGGTCGATAATTAAAGTCAGTCGAGCGAGCCGTGTCCGTGTGAAGGATCCTTTAATCTGCGGCATTGTGCGTCGCCGCTCGGCCGTGTCGCGATAACGATCGTGAGGCAAAGAAATCGCAGGTGATCGCGCGTGGTTAAGGATCCCAGGCGCCGATTACGTGAGATTCGCGATAACTTCCTCTACGTGATTCCTCTACTCGTACGCAGGCTTCTTCTTCTTTCTCAGAAACACGGGGACAAGTTCGGCCTCGTCCAAGAGTCCTGGACCTTCGGAACCGCGCGTGTGACTCTTTGAGTGCGCCAGCAGTGTCATTGTGACGCGATCAGATCGATTTCCGCGTAGCACGTCGTTTACGAAATCGATGGAACTTGAGATAAACTTGGATGACATTTTTTTAATTAATAAGCGTATTTGTTCATATTGTTTATGAACTTTGCCATGTATACTGCGTCATGTATCGTATATAATACCGGATCATCTGCATTAGTATCCCTATCCAATTTCAACATGTTCGGATACTGGACGCTTTGAAGCAGAAAAAGATTAATCTCAGTAAATTGTAGTTGCTTCCGGCGCCAGCTGGTCCTCTTGTTGTTCCAACAAAGAAGTAGCATACTGAGAGGAGAAACATGTAAGAAATAATAAATATATATTCGGTGGGTACTAATAGCACACACACACACACACATACCATATATATTTATTTATACTAACACAACATTTTTCTCCAATAAGAAAATATACAATTTCTTAAAAGTTTAAGAAAACGGCTTTTCGCGAAAGCATTTGTTTGTTCTTATTAAAGAAAGAAATTCTTCTTAAGTAAAGAATTTCGATTGAAGTGAAAATGCATTGTTCCACCGAATAAGAATTTACTACTTTTTAAGTGTTTTTCCCTTCATTGTAGTGGTATATAAGGTAATTGCTAGCACTGTATGGTATCACTTGCTACAAAAAATGGTTTTCCCGCATCAATTCTGTGATTATAATTGCAAATACTGAGCACTTTTCTCTCACTGCATTTCGCTAGAAGCGGGATCAGACGTCGACGCGATTTACTGGGCGAAGCCACGAGTCTTAGCGCGTCAAGTGTCGAAATCCGTGCTCGTGCAAATCGTAGGGGCTTCGAGTCGCGGCTGTGTGTATCCTTACAGTTCGTCCTATTATCTCGCAAGACGGCGGAACGTGACGAAACTTTCTCACCGCGTATAAATACAAGGGGATGGATTTAATTTCGCACGACAACGACGACGGGGACGGCGGCAGTGACTGCTGTCGGTGCCGACGGGACGCGACACGACGCGACGTATCAAGCCGAAAAGTTTTTATCGTTCTGCCGAACGCATTTGCTGCAAATTGATGGAAATGACGGCTCAAATTCGGGCCTGGACGAGTTTTTCGCGCTGGCGCACGCGCTCGCATTATACACGCGTATATACATATATTGCACGCGAAATACATTATCCGCGGAGAATGGACTGTTAACGCGGTTATATGACTCCATTTTGCGCGTTACACGAAACATCATCCCACGTTACAAAGAGCCCGTAATGACGCGTCATGTATATGCGATCGCGGCGGTAAAAGCGTGAAAATAATAGCAACGTTGTTCGGTCCACGCGAACGTTGGTTTTCGGCCGGGGGCGCACATTGCGCGTGAGAGGAAGAGAGAGAGGGAGAACGTGGCAGAACATGGCAGATAGAGGGAGAGACCCTCTCTCTTTCGACCTCCAGCCCGTGCTCCCTCGCGCGCGCTTTGGCGAAGCGTGCAAATCGCAAAAATGTTTTCCATAATTCGCGACCCGCCCTTCGGCACGGCGCGCGCGATGCGGCTACGTCGAAAATTAACGGCGAAATCGCGCTCGGCAATCTCGGCGGCGGCGGCGGCGGCGGCGGCGGCGGTGTGCGCGAGCGAACGAGCGTGAGGGGGAGTACCGCAAATTATCCATCCGCCCGTTATTGTTGAATGGCCAATTCTCTACTTGGAAATTAAGCTATGGCCTAAACTAACCTAGCATAACGTTGCCGGCACGGGAACTCGCGCGCGCGCGCGCGCGCCTACCGTGAGTGTTTGCACGACCAGTTTAGCGTGCTGCGCTTCCTACACCCAGACGACGCTCTCTCGTCGTCGTCGGCGTCGCTCGCTCGATCCGTGACGTATGTGCGGTGGTGCGTCGCTGAAATGTATCGATTAATTCATATTGACTTGCTTAAACGCGCAAATAAATACAGAAGGCCGCGTAGCGCAACGTCCGTAAACGCTCGCGAGAAGGAAGCGCAAAGAAAAACTGATCAATCCAAGTTGGCCGAGGATGAGATGCAAAGAGAGAGAGAGAGAAGGAGACGAGACGATCAATTATGGGTATCGCGTTCTTCGTCTCCGCGAGAAGTTTTCGAGTTTACTCTCAGCCGCTCGTTTCCTCATCCATGAAAGCCCTACACCCGCCGATTTAGCCGCATTAATTAATCGCGCGGCAAAGAAAAGAAGAGTGCGTTATCGCGCCTCTCCGACACGGGGCAGACGCTGAAATCTCCCCATTCCGCCGGCTTCTGCAATAACTCCCGCGAGGCAATAATGAGCAATTACCGTGTTGGATCTCCATCGTCCGTCGTTCCAGCCGCGTGTCGGCCGCAACTCGCCAGCGAGCGAGCGAGCGATCGTCTGGACGCTCTTTTCCGCGTTTTATCGCGGAATTTATCCGACGTGTTTGACACGTTTGCAATAACGGTCGTGTGCCTTCGCCTGTCGCTCGTAATGCACCGAGCCACGGCGCGGTCCATTGAAAATTGCATTGTAATCAATGCGTCGTAGGTCCTGAACGTGACGTCGCGCTCGGCCGGCGGCTTTGCGCACCCGGCGAATATATACGTGTATACGCGCGGCGACGAGAGCGCGCTTTCTTTTCGCTTTCTATCCTTTCCGCCGCCATTGCGCCGCGTCCCGTCTCGTCTCGTCTCTCTGCCCCCCTTCCTTAGTTCTTTTCTTTTTTTTTTTTTATTCTTTGTCCCTGGCTCGAAACACGCCTGGGAGATTAGGATAAATGCTCCTGGAGCGGCGACGGGGCGCAGTTTACGCGCCTCGTAAATCGAACGATAAATTGATCGCTCGCCATCGTAAAGCTCCGTTCACACGCGCCGCCGATGAAATGGAAACGCATGGTCCCCGCGAGATACCGCGACGCTGCTAATAGAGATTTTTAACGCGCGCCGAGAAAAGGAGGCTCAGCCTGCTGAAAGGAAGGAATTCTCGTTTGTAATGGTTCGCGAAAAATATTCCGAGACATGCACTCTCTTATTCTTATGATTCTATAGTTGCGTGTTCGCGAGAGTGGTCTCAGACCGATACTCATAGTCGCATTCTCTGTGAGAAAAAGTTTTACCAATTTAACGAAACACCAGTATCCGCAACAAACGGTTCGCTGATGTGGGGCAGCAAATGACCCTGTAGTGGAAACAAATGATCATTTCAATTTGCTGTTCTAAGCCGCACTTGTGCAGAGTAAACTCGAGTATGATGGCCATACGGAAAAGATGGTCATAAGCTCTGTAATTTCTCCAATAATTGCTAAATAGTACGCTTTAGCATCTGAATGAATGCACATAAACTACTATAAATATCAATTATCTTTGAAAATGACTGCAAAAGTGCACTATTTTAACAATTATTGGAAAAATTACTGCCTATGGTCATTTTTTCCGCACGGTCGTCACCCGAGTTTACGCTAATAGAGACAACTAATTTAAATAAACAAGAATAAATGGGATTTGCATCTCAGACAATGTAGGTTTATTGAAATGAGAAATAATGAGAGAAATGTGTGATTTGCAAAAATAAACCCGTTCGATATGTTTTCTTAAAGATTATCAGACGGCAAACTTTGCAAACTATTGTTCTGATAACCGCGGATTCTTCTTAACACAGACCTCATATTTACAATCGTCTTAAGTTCATCCTCAGACGCTGCTCTGGTCATTTCATAGATTGCGAAATGTCTGAGGATAAAACCTAAGACGAAGTTAAATATAAGACCTGACTGCGAATACCACCTCCAGTGTGTCATCTGTATTGTTTTGACCAAATTTTGTCAAAGTCTAGTAAAAAAGTGTACGAGGGTAAAAAAATGTATTTTTTCTATCCGACAGGCACGAAGACGTTGCGACGACGCGCGGCGGCGAATCACGAAGATACGAGGAAAGTGTCCGAACTCGAATTCGCGAATGATAACACGTTTACGCCCGTGCACTTAAAATCGATCCGCGTGAGAGTAGTGTTGAGCCGGTTCGCGACGCGGCAACCGCGATGAATCGTGTTGTGCAGTAAGTAGTGTCCGCAAGAAGAAGAAGAAGCAGAAGACTGATCTGGAACTGCGGCTGTCCCATGGAGTCTCTTCCGGATGCCGAGGATGCCGTCGCGAGGATCCTGCCAACGCTCGCGTCGTGAGATGATCGTGTGCGAGGTGCATCGCGGACGCTGCAGCGGCTTTTGAGAAGCGACTGACCAACCTTAAGATGTACCCCGCGCCGGCGAGACACCCAGCCCCCGTGAGTTGAATTTCTTAACTTTGTTTTCGGCCTTGTTCTTACAGGCCCCTTGTTGTTTCCTTTCTTTCCGAGCGAGGAGAGATCGGTAACGTGATTGGCGGGATAAAAGCGCGAGATACATAAATGTCCGACGACATATTAACGAGAGCAATTAATTCGAGAACACGAGAAAAAGCGGGAGCGTAATGAAAGATATTATAGATATTTGATGTATGAAATTAAGCAAGGGTGAAGAGAAGTGAGGAAATGTCGCAACGGAGACTCTCTAAAAAATCAGAGGGAGACAGAAAATAAAATCCTGTCTAAGATTATGTGCGTCTCATCTCGGGGGAACTCTAACTCGACGAAATTTTATTGTAAAGTATAGCTGGAGAGTTGCGACGGAAGGAAGGACAGGGGTAGTTGATAAATTAATGTGGTAACTGATTCGCGCTGGCCTCCACGCGCGACGTGTCGCGAATTTCCCCGGAGCGTTGCCGCGCGACTCTCTCACAGAGCTTTCCTCAAACATTTTTATTCAGCGTTATTCATTGTAACGAGCGTCAAAGGGTAATATATAGAGCGTAATTACCGCTCGCTCGCGAAAAGAGAGAAAGAGAGGGAGAAAAGATGGAAGAGAGAAATAGAGGCGAAGCACGTGGGTGTCGGGTCGACGGTTCTCGCACTTCGCGTTGCTAATTCGAAGAATGTTTGATTGTTTCCGCGGCGACCCATCTCTCTCCTCTCTCTTTCTCTCTCATCTTCTCCGCGCGCTCGCACCGCTCTTTTTACCGTCATAATTTCACGCGTCGCGCAAGCTCAAAGTCCCTTACGATGAAACGAGACCACCGGCGAATTTGCCAACGTGCACGCACAGCACGCACGCACTGACACAGACAGAAAGACGGCAGTGGGAGAGTGTGGGAGGGAGCCACAGAGAGAAGGCGGCCGTTAGAAATTGTGGGGGATTATTTATAGAGCCGCGCAAGTCAACGTACAACAATTGTAGTTCGCAGAACTGGCCATTGGGCGATATGTGGGCACCACTCGTTTGCTTATTGACGCTGATGTGGCGCCGCTTCAAGGGGCACAAAGTGGCTCGATCGTTTCTTCACGAGTATATATGTACCCGGTGCGCGCGACAGACGCGCGACGACGATAATATAACCGGGGCTGCGTCCTCTCTTTTTCTCTCTCTCTCTCTTTCCTCCTAGTACTGCGCGAAACGGCCGGCAATTATCGCGGTGACTAATCGATGTGCGACGTAATCGGGCCGCGGAAAGAAAAAAGATCAAGTCGCGAGAGTGAAGTAATCGTTACACGGCTGGATAATATTCGCCATGAGCGCGCGTTATTCGCGGACGGCCGACGATAACTTGCGAGTAGATACTCTTTCCGAGATCGCGCGAGATAGCTGATAATTATCGCGTCGACTATTAGACGTAATTTGCCCGGGAAGGCGAACTTGAGCGTCGGCGTTATGAGCGCGGCGGTTATTTAACAGAAAATCGCCGTCGCGCGTCGTGTCGCGTCATTGCATGCCGGTCGAAGAAATTTCAGCCAGTCTCTCGTGCGCGCGTCGCAATATACAGGGTGTCTGACGAGGAGACACGCACGTGTGCAGATAGATTAGGTCAAGCTGTGAAATTTCTCCGCTATTTGTCAAACAAGCACGTGAAATTTCGAGATATCGATGAAAGAAGATTAGGGAGTCAGTGCACGCGACGCTGTGAAACAAGCTCTGTAGACGCGAGCTCATTGAACATCGAATACTGAGTGACTTGCGACTGTTTCTTATTGTCTTCGTACTGCTCGCATCTTTAGGGCTAGCGCACGTACGTAGTGCCTTAAGCGCCATCTACAATGGAATTGGCAGTAGGACAGCAAGATGTAAGCAATAAGCGAATTGATTAATCCCAGTCGATTATCACGAGAATAATCGATTGTGGTTGGTCAATTTGCTTACTGCTTACGCGTCTTACTGGCTATTATTAATTTCATTGTAGATGACCCTTTACGTTATTAGAACCTTGCGCAATACATAAGCCAGTTCTATGGCAACACACAAAGAACAGCGTAACGCTTTTCTTTATACATTGGGCCGGCTTACGTGTCGCGTAACGCAAGATTCTCACGTAAGATAACGTATTAGGACAATGTGCATGCGCTAGTCCTTGCTGCTAATTTTCTGGGTAGGAGAAATTAGTAAAGATGACTACCAAATACTGTGATATAACATCTTATATTTAATCGATATATTAAATGACAGCGACAGAATTTCTATCGGTACTGTTTGCGAAATTTAGCAACAAAGTTTCTTTTTCTGTGGTGCTCATCCAGATTAAAGCCAGTCGTTCTAAGAATTGACTGTACTAGACAGAAGAAGCTAGAGACAAACGAATGTATATGATCCTTACATTCACCTAAACTTGCTTGCTAGATATTGCTGGAATGCTGCCGCTAAATTCCACGTACAGACAATGGTCTAGCAGTTACACAAAACAGCGATCAATTTTAACCGTGACATTTAAAATTCTGCTTGGGTCAGCAAGACATTTCTTAAGGAAACAGTCGCAAGTTTCAGCCATTTTCAATGAACTCGTCCCACAGCGTGGCGCGCACTGATTCACTAATCCCCTTTCATTGATATCTCGAAATTTCACGTGGTTGTTTGACAAATGGTAGAGGAATTTCTTGTTCAGTTTGACCTAATGCATCTAAAGCACACGTGCTTCTGGCCATCTCTCGTGTTAGACAAGTACACGAAACGTCGTTGTCCGCGTCGTGGCTTGCTGTGGCGTTGGCGCTTTCAAGGGCGTCCGCGTCTTGTGGTAACGGCGTGTCATTAGCGATCTTTTAATGAGAACGAGTGGAAATTAACTGCCATTAGATCGTGATATGGATGAATCTCGTGTGCAATAAAGCGTCGCAAAGAAAGCGGTTGACGCGGCTTGCACCGCTATTGATTAATAGCGGACCAAGCGCGATCAAGCGTGATCGTCGCGCTGATCGCGCGCGATTGATGATCTGCACCATCATTTCGCTCGATATTCATTACAGTGCGCTGCGCGCGCATTCGCGGTTCTGCGAGAATACCCCGCGTAGATTCGGTTTTGGCCCCTCGTTAACGCACGCCATAAGCACACGAGCTCGGCCGTAAGTTAATGACTGTGTGTGAAAACGAATGTAAACGTACTCTGCGCTTTTCCAGAATTATTATTTCGTTAAGAACACTCCGATATCACGAAAAGGCCGCGGGTACCATTCACGAGTAGTGCACTCGTAACGTGGAAGACAAACGTAAACTATATATATATTACTTCCCAAATAAAATTTCCACTTCGAAAAGCATCGATTCGTAAATATCAACTGCGTTGTCATTATTTTGAGAGACAAATGTTCTTTTCTCTAAATATATTCTTTCGCTCGGTACAATGTTCCTTATTTTTTTTTTTCTTTTTGTTTTCTTTTCTCCTTTTGCCGAGTCTCGCATTGCATTCAGCAGCTGATTGTCCGGTATTACGGCAACAGAAAGAGGGAGAAAGAGAGAGAAGCCTGGCCGCTTGGAAGCTTCTATCTTCACTCGCCAACCAAATAAACGAATGCACGCTGGCTCGGCGTCGCGCTCGTAATTCTGTAACTTGATCCTGCACGAGGACGATAATAAAAGGCGAAATAGTTATTCGCGGCAGTCGTCCGTTGTTTTAAGACGCGCGCGTCGAGAGAGCGATACCTCCGTGGAGTTGTTGCAGTGTCTGGAAAACCGTGAAAAACGAGTGATACGGCGAGAGAGAGAGAGAGAGAGAGAGAGAGAGAGAGAGAGAGGGGG